ACTACACTACATGTACAGGTACAAGCAGAGAAGAAACCCAAGCAGGACTCCAGTCAGCCAACAGGTGAAAAGGAGGAACCCAGACCCAGACCAGTGGTCATTCCATATGTTGAGGGAGTATCAGAGAAACTGAGACGTTTATTTTCTAAACATAACGTCCCAGTGGCTTTTAAACCCCAAAATACATTACGGCAAAGACTGGTTCATCCCAAAGATCCAGTCCCCCGGCATAAACAGAGTAATGTTGTGTATGCTGTTCAGTGTCAGGAGGGCTGTGATCAGTCTTACATCGGGGAAACAAAACAGCCACTGGCCAAAAGGATGGCCCAGCACAGAAGATCAACATCATCAGGCCAGGACTCTGCGGTCTACACTCATCTCCAGGCCAGCGGTCACTCTTTCTGTTAGGATTTGTGGTCAGGAGCGAACCCAGAGTGCAGAACAGGGACTCAACTCGGCAGGAATACAAAAATAGGATTTTAATGGTAAATGAAAGTACAAAATAACAAGCTGACGGGGCAGCAAAACTTACATGAGCATAGGAAGGAGGCACGGGAAACTCAGGAGACACGAGAGACATGGGGAACTTGAGGAACCAGGAAGACTCAGGGGAAGACACCAGAGACCCAACGAAGACGACGCGACGATGAACAAGACAGAACAGACATACAGAGACAAGACGAGACATAATTGCATCCTCTTGAGACAAAACGAAAAGCCACATCAGCTCCCACACTCCCCACGGATCCACAACGTATCCTGCAGAATGAGTCTCAGCAGGGTATGAGGGATCCTGTTGCTTTGTTGAAAATATTTTATCGATTGCGTTGAAAGTCCAGCTGACCAGATCCATGACTGAAGTTTTCCTTCTATTCAGAAAACACTAAACAACAACAAATGTGCTGAAACATGATGTGTACACATGATGCCCCTTCACATTTCTGCCTGCCCATTCAAATATTTATTCCTAGAACCGGCCCTGATCCTATGAATGAATCCATATCGCCTGATACTATTTATGCCTGAGTTTTATAGTAAGGTGATCTTTTTTATTTGTTTATTAACCTTTTTTTAACAGGCAAATTCCAATAAGAGCACATCTCCTCTTATGTTGAGAAATTATTGAGCTGTAGCTGTTTTGATCAAGCCTTGAAAATTATAGCATCTTTTTATCTTATCAAGATACTCAAAGCTCTTTACAACACAATATGTGTCCTCATTTACCCATTCATACAAAACCCTACTACATTTCTTCAAAGAATAATCAGTGCTTTGTCAAATACACCGATGAGACACACATCGGAAGCAATGAGGGGTTCAGTGTCTTGCCAAAGGACTCTTGAGCATGTGACTGTTGGTGGAATCAAACCCTCAACTCTTGCATTGGAGGATGACTGCTCTAACCACTCAGCCACAGCTGCCCCCCCGAATAAGGTGATCTTGTCCTATGTCACAAGATGTTAGGTTCAGTATGTGTTGGGAATGACTCTCAGAAACTACATTAAATTTCAACATAAAGGTTGATTGAGGTGTAGATGTTTGTTGTGTTGGCTGATGTCAGTTAGCTCGGACCTGGCGCCAGAGGGAGGGCCGGGCCTGCCCATTCAGGTATCCAGCCCCTCCACCCAAGACAGATTACAACACCGTGTAAATAAGTTGAACCTATGCAATGTATTGACTCCTAGGCGTCGCAACCATTATATGTGATGGGGACGTGTCCCTCCACATTTAAAAAACATTCATGTGGACCCCACACACACACACACACACACACACACACATACACTTTTACCGTGAAACATTAGTTCAGTTGGCGCAGTTGCTCTTTCTTCGTGAACAAATCTATTCCACTTGATTAACAGGACAATACTCAAACCACTAAAAATCCACTCCAGGTTTTCCTGGTTACCTCCAACTCTCCAGCAGCATACAGTGTTTCCTCTGCGCCTCCTGCCTCGGCAGAATGCTCACAGGTGGAGGAGGCCGGGGTGTTGATCATAAACATATGTACATAGTTAGGAGGATGCTTGAGAGGTGGAGCGCTACGTCTGTAGCATTTTAGCACTTAACTGTGACGCTGTAAGACGCTGTGTAAATAAAATGTGCAATAAAGTTGAAATGTCTTTAAAACCCCACACCTTATTGTCCTAAAGTGTTGTGAGAAACATAATTTAGATGAGTAGTGTTGAACACAAGTAAATAAAGTCTATTGGTGATGTTTTTTATTTCTCTTTAAACACAAATGGTGCCGATGAGGCTGTGTTAATGTGCATTAAAGTTCAAATGTCTTTAAACTCCACAGCTGAATTTATATAAACTTGGTGAGAAAGATGCTTTAAATGTGTGGAATTAAAGTAAGGAAATCTTGGTGAAATGTTTCTTTTTTTTAACAACTGCTAATAATATCACAAGAAGAAAGTGAAGAAGACACTTTGATAAGGTAATATGCCAAAATGGACATCAGAACTTGGCTTAACAAACATTTTCCACAGAGTTTTTTTATTTGCATGTCAGGTTTGCTCAACAAAAGAGTGGAAATGAAAAAAATGTTCAGTATTTTTTTTTTAACATTTCCCCCTCTCCAGGAGTTCATGTACAGTTACCTTCATGTTTCTGGTGTTAATGTATTTCAAACACAATGATTAATGCAGTGCTAGTTTCTAAGATTTATGCAAAAATTGTTTATGCAGACTTGAGCACAATTTCTCAGCATTTTCTGGTGACTATCTATGTAAGTTATTTGTTTTGTATTAATAAACAACATATGGTTATTTCAGTTGCAAGGTTACATAAATGATTATTTATGTATTTATATATACTGCTTGGCTAAAATAAAGTCACCACCTGGATTTAACTAAGTAAATAGGTACGAGCCTCCTGTTAGATAATTACTGCATGGGTGATTATCTTTCAGCTGCAACAAGTTATTTAACTCCAACTGGTGCAATGAGTTGCTTCTCATTTATTAAAAAAACATTTTGAAAGACACATGACGTGGTTGTGGAAAAGATGTTTGAGAAGGGTCAAATCATTGGCATCAAGCAGAGAAAACATCTAAGGAGATTGTAGAAACTACTAAAATTGGGTTAAGAACTGTCCAACACATAATTAAAAACTGGAAGGATTGTGGGGACCCATCGTCTTCGAGGAAGAAATGTGACTGGAAAATTATCTTGAATGATCGTGATCATCGATCATTTAAACATTTGGTGAAATCTAATGGAAGAAAAACAACAGTAGCACTCAGGGCTGTGTTTAATAGTGAAAGTAAGAACATTTCCACATGCACAATGCAAAGGGAACTCAAGGGAGTAGGATTGAACAACTGTGTAGCCTTAATAAAACCACTAATCAGTGAGGCTAACTGGAAAAAAAGGCTTCAATTTGCTTTTTATAAAGATTGGACTCTGGAGCAATGGAAGAAAGCCATGTGATCTGATGAGTCCAGATTTGCCCTGTTCCAGAGTGATGGACGCATCAGGGTAAGAATAGAGTCAGGTGAAGTGATACACCCATCATGCCTAGTGTCTAATCATCAATGCAAGATCTTGGTGAAACATTAATGCAACACTAGATGGAAATAGGCAGCACAGTGGCGAAACTGGTAGAGCTGCTGCCTCTCAGCGAGTAGGTCCCTGGTTCAAACCCCGGTCCAGGGGCCTTTCTGGGTGGAGTTTACATGTTCTCTCCGTGCATGTGTGGGTTTTCTCCGGGTACTCTGGTTTCCTCCCACAGACCAAAAAAAAACCATGCATGTTAGGCTGATTGGTAACTCTAAATTGTACCTAGGTGTGAGTGAGAGAGTGAATGGTTGTTTGTCTCGTTTGTCTCTATGTGGCCCTGTGATGGACTTGCGACCTGTCCAGGGTGTACCCCGCCCCTCGCACAGTGATTGCTGGACATGGGCACCGGCGACCCCCGTGACCCAAAATGGAATAAGCGGGTAAAGATAATGGATAGATGGAAATAGATCTTGTGTTATTCCAGAAGCTTACTGAAACAATGCCACAGAGAATGCATGCCTTAATCATAGTCCAATGAAAAATTAGTGTGTGACCTTTTTTTAGTTGGAAACTTATTTTTGGCCAGGCAGTGTAAAATAAAATGACTATTTACTGGGCCCCCCAAAATATTCCTCAGGCCCCACAGCTAAATTCTTCTGGAGCCAGGTCTGAGTTAGCTGTGACAGCCAACGACCAACTCCCTCCATGTTTCACTGTAGTGCCAGTGTTCTTTCATGTTGAGGTCTGTGAACACAGAACTTATGGAATTTGTTGCACAAAAGCCCTAGCTTTATCTCCTCTCTCCAAAAGACATTGTTCCAGAAAGCTTTCTGTCTTCTTAGTGTGTATTTGAATACAAGATAGCAGCCATCTTGGACATTTTATATTTTTTGGTGGATGAACTGTACCATGATTTAATGAAAAACTAGGCTCTTAGCTTTATTCATTCCAAATTTGGTGCTGGTATCAGATTTTTATAGAGTATTGACTCAAGCTGCAGCACTACCGAGACAACTTTGTCCTCAGCTTTCTGTGGTCCATGCTTAGTGTGTTACCCACCATGATACCAAACAGCTCAGTCTTTGAATAGGCAGACTGACTGGTTACAGACTAAAGACACCTGAGGTGCTGATTACAGGACATAGTTTAGTTTAGCATGTCCCTATGCACAAATTATTTTCAGACTTTTCTAGGAGACAGTCTCTTTTGTCAAGGCCAATTTTATTAGTTTGTTGTGTTTGTTTTATTAAAGCAAAATTTAAAAGCAATGACTAATTGGTATTAGTTGATTTTTGGTATCTTTTTCTTATGACTTTAGTCGGTGTAAATTATTTCAATGCATTTTATGATTATTTTATTTTATTATTCATTTATTTTAGCAAAAGACTACAAATTAATTTCACTGGGTTTGTACACCTGGGCAATAACATTATCTGTCCTTTTTTATTATTGTCTGTCCTTGTTTTATTATCGACTGTCCTTGTTGTATTATCATCCATCCTTGTTTTATTATCGTCTGTCCTTGTTTTATTATCTTCTGTCCTTGTTTTATTATCGTCTGTTCTTGTTTAATTATCGTCTGTACTTGTTTCATTATCATCTGTCCTTGTTTTATTATCTTCTGTCCTTGTTTTATTATTGTCTGTCCTTGTT